GATTCTGTTCCACTGATCTATGTGTCTGTTTTTGTGCCAGGACCATACTGTCTTGATGATGACAGCTTTGTAATAGAGCTTGAAGTCCGGAATTGCAATGCCACCAGCTATGCTTTTCTTTTTCAACACTCCTTTGGCTATTCGGGGTCTTTTCTGGTTCCATACAGATTTTAGGATTTGTTCCATTTCTTTGAAAAAAGTTATGGTATTTTGATAGGGATGCATTAGATGTGTAGATTGCTCTAGGCAGCATAGACATTTTCATAGTATCTGTTCTTCCAATCCACGAGCATGGAATGTTTTTCCATTTCTTTGTGTCTTCCTCAATTTCTTTCATGAGTGTTCTATAATTTTCGAGTACAGATTCTTTGCCTCTCTGGTTAGATTGATTCCTAGGTATCTTATGGTTTGGGGTACAATTGTAAATGGGATCGACTCCTTAATTTCTCTTTCTTCTGCCTTGTTGTTGGTATATAGAAATGCAACTGATTTCTGTGCACTGATTTTATATCCTGCACTTTACTGAATTCCTGTGTGAGTTCTAGCAATTTTGGGGTGGAGTCTTTGGGTTTTCCACATAAAGTATCATATCATCTGCAAAAAGTGAGAGTTTGACTTCTTCCTTGCCGATTCAGATGCCTTTTATTTCTTTTTGTTGTCTGACTGCTGAGGCAAGGACTTCTGGTACTATGTTGAACAGCAGTAGTGACTGATAGTGGACAGCCCTGCCGTGTTCCTGACCTTAGGGGAAAAGGTCTCAATTTTTCCCCATCGAGAATGGTATTTGCTGTGGGTTTTTCAGAGATGGCGTTTATGATATTGAGGTATGTATCCTCTATCCCTACACTGTGAAGAGTTTTAATCAAGAAAGGATGCTATACTTTGTCAAATGCTTTTTCTGCATCTACTGAGAGTATCATATGGTTCTTGTTCTTTCTTTTATTAATGTATTGTATCACACTGATTGATTTGTGGATGTTGAACCAACCCTGCAGCCCAGGAATAAATCCCACTTGGTCGTGGTGAATAATCTTTTTAATGTACCTATTGGCTAGTATTTTGGTGAGAGTTTTTGCAGCCATGTTCATCAGGGATTTTGGTCTGTAATTCTCCTTTTTGATGGCGTCTCTGTCTGGTTTTGGGATCAAGGTAATGTTGGCCTCTTAAAATGAGTTTGGGAGTTTTCCTTCCATTTCTATTTCTTGGAACAGTTTCAGAAGAATAGGTATTAATTCTTCTTTAAATGTTTGGTAGAAGTCCCCTGGGAAGCCATCTGACCCTGGGCTCTTGTTTGCTGGGAGATTTTTGATGACTGCTTCAATTTCCTTGCTGGTTACAGGTCTGTTCAGGTTTTCTATTTCTTCCTGGTTCAGTTTTGGTAGTTTATACGTCTCGAGGAATGCATCCATTTCTTCCAGATTGTCTAATTTGCTGGCATATAGTTGCTCCTAATACGTTCTTACAATTGTTTGTATTTCTTTGGTGTTGGCTGTGATCTCTCCTCTTTCATTCATGATTTTATTTATTTGGGTCCTTTCTCTTTTCTTTCTGAAAGTCTGGATGGGGTTTATCGATCTTATTAATTATTTAAAAGAATCAGCTCCTAGTTTCGTTGATCTGTTCTACTGTTCTTTTGGTTTCTATTTCACTGATTTCTGCTCTGATCTTTATTATTTCTCTCCTCCTGCTGGGTTTAGGCTTTATTTGCTGTTCTTTCTCCAGCTCTACCTTTAGGTGTAGGGTGAGGTTGTGTATTTGAGACCTTTCTTGTTTCTTGAGAAAGGCCTGAATTGCTATATACTTTCCTCTTAGAACCGCCTCTGCTGCATCCCAAAGATTTTGGACATTTGTGTTTTCATTTTATTTGTTTCCATGAATTTTTTTAATTCTTCTTTAATTTCCTGGTTGACCCATTCATTCTTTAGTAGGATGCTCTTTCGCCTCCATGTATCTGAGTTCTTTCCAACTTTCCTCTTGTGATTGAGTTCTAGTTTCAAAGCACTGTGGTCCGAAAATATGCAGGGAATGATCCCAGTATTTTTGTACTGGTGGAGACCTGATTTGTGACCCAGGATGTGATCTATTCTGGAGAATGCTGCATGGGCACTAGAGAAGAATGTGTATTCTGTTGCTTTGGGATGGAATGTTCTGAATATATCTGTGAAGTCCATCTGACCCAGTGTGTCATTTAAAGCCTTTATTTCCTTGTTGATCTTTTGCTTAGATGATCTGTCCATTGCAGTGAGGGGGGGTGTTAAAGTCCCCTACTATTATTGTATTGTTGTCGATGTGTTTCTTTGATTTTGTTATGAATTGGCTTATATAATTGGCTGCTCCCATGTTAGGGGCATAGATATTTAAAATTGTTAGATTTTCTTGTTGGACAGACCCTTTAAGTAGGATATAGTGTCCTTCCTCATCTCTTATTATAGTCTTTGGTTTAAAATCTAATTTGTCTGGTATGAGGATTGCCAACCCAGCTTTCTTTTGATGTCCATTAGCATGGTAAATGGTTTCCCACCCCCTCACTTTAAATCTGGAGATGTCTTTGGGTCTAAAATGAGCCTCTTGCAGACGACACTCAACAATTCTTAAGTCCCACAAAGCACCCAGCATACAGAAGGCATCCAACAAATGTTCAGTTAAGGAAATGACTAGTTCAAATCAGTAATTCACATTTTGTGTTACCTATTCAATCACAAATTTCCTTCCTTATTTTACACATGATCTTTTATCAGCTACCTGTGCTGAAGTCCAGGGATGACTGCCTGTGTGGTCACTAAAATATCTACAATCTTTTCTGCTTCCTTCCTGAACTCAGCTTTCCCAAGGCACGTGCAAGTTAAGCAAGAGGTACTGCTTGGGAAATAATTACTAACATTAATACTTATGCTCTCTTCCAATTAGTTACCAAGAAACTGGTAACCGAATCATAAGTTAGGTGTAAAATTACCTTAAGTATTTAATGTGTTGTAACATATAATTTATATAATCACAGAGCAAATATTTAGCAATTTATAGATTTCAAAGGTGCTTCCTAAAAACTCAATAAACATTAATTATATATGATCCCATATTATTACATTATTATAGCATTCTTTTTATAGGTAATGTGGAACTGAGCTTTCTTTAGGATTTACTTTCATTTTACATATTTAAAAAAAAAGAGAAAGCCTAAAAAACCTGCAACTATGTTTTTTAAAAGATGTATTTATTTATTTATTTGAGAGAGAGAGATAGAGCGAGTGTGCATGTGTGAGCAGGGGAGAGGGGGAGAGTGAGAGAGAGAATCTCCAGCACACTCCTGGCTGAGTGTGCAGCCTGACAAGAGGCTCGATCTCACAATTCTGAGATCGTGACCTGAGCTAAAATCAAGCAAGAGTTGGATGCTTAACCGACTGAGCCACCCAGGTGCCCCAACCATTTTTTCTTATAACTGCAAGTTAACCTCCTGTATTGGCCTGCCTGTGAACGACCAGTGGTTCTACAGAAATAAATGGGGTGGCTCTGTGCATTAAGGAAGGCACAGTGGTACTGGCTGTCTGCTAGAACTATAGTTACATAAAATGGTTTTATGTATGTACCTGTTATTAATATGGTTTTTCTATACAGATGAAGTAACGCTCCATGTCTAGTCAACAATGTAATTGTTTTGATCCTACTTATCTGGAAGAAAAGACACATCTCAGCCAGCCTCAGAGCCAGCCAGGATGCCCGCGCCAGTTCAGCACCACTGCTCCGTCATCCAGCAGCACAGCAATTCACACATTAAAATATTTACAAAATACTTCAGGTCTCTGCATTTAAAGCTCCATATGGCAAAAGAGAAAAATAACTTGAATTTATTAATAGCAGCAAATCACACAGTTAAAAAAAGACTTACAGCTCTGGAAATATGTATTTCTTACATTCCTCTTCAATCTTTAAAATACAAATAATCTACTGTGTTCAAATGACAAGTTGGTATCAAAATACTACCAACTTCTCCGGCTACAGTTTGCATCCCCCTTTAAAATCTGAAAGTCCCAGTAACCAGTCATTTTGTATAGGGTGCTAATGGTCTTTACAGCAATACCCAGAAATCACTGGGGGGTGGGGGCGGGGGGGGAGACACATAAATAGAACAGAAGCTGGAAAGGCTTTGAATCAGAAACCCTAAGTGGGATAGGCAACATTTGAAAACTGAGGGACCTGAGGTGATTCCAAAGGTAGCCAGCCATCCACACACTTGGCAAGCCCATCATTAATATGGCTTTGCTAACCCAGGCAGCCAGGCCAGAGGCATTCCCCACCGTCCACCCCACTCCCATCACCATCACCACCACTCACCTGGCTACAGGGAGGCACTTGGCCCCAGGAAAGCCACACCAAAGACTAGCCAGTGACCTAAAATAATAGCCACAGAAAGTACTTGCTTTTAAAGAATCCTCAACTTCCCATAATACAGACTTTGATAACATTGAGTCAGTCTCCAGGATTGTTACTAAAATTTTTATGGTCCAAGAAATTCACAAGGCAGGGAGATGAGTCAGAATAAGGAGGCAAAGAAACTTTCATCAAAGGACTAAGAGTTTAAAAGAACGGGGGGGGGGGTGCCTCCTGGTAGGAGCTGGAGAGGAAAGGGAGCAGAGATGCAGAGATCAAGCTGAGGGGAAGCAGAGCAGAGACTTACAAGTGGATGACGTGTGCAGGTGGGTGGCAGCATGAGGCAGGACACAAGTACGTGTGCATCAACAGGGCACCTGGCCAAATGAGCAGGTGCCTGTCAAAGCTCTGGTCTCCGTGGGTTTCACAAGGGGAAGAGCAGAGGCTTCTTGCTAAGACTTTGCAAACATTTAAAGACGACAACACTCAGTGCTATAGAACGAAGGACGATGGGTATACACACATCCTGCTGATGATGGCACAAAGGCCTAACAATATGTCTGAAAACCCACGGGTGGTATGTTTCCACAGGCTCCATGCCATCTACCTGAAGCTGAGCCCTTTGGCATGCTTACCCATCACACGCCTCCTCGCCTAGGTGAAACCTCTGCTCATGCACCAGGCCCCGCCATCTGCTTGAGGACTTTGTTCTATGGATTCTCCCCTCCATTCTTCGGATCATCAATCCTTCCTTCTTTCCTGCATCATTTCCATGAGGATACAAGCACACTGTTACTACTAGGCTGAAGAAACAAAGCGCCCTCCTTGGGATCACACTTCCACCTCAACCTACTAACAGCCTCTTTTCCTTCCTTTTCAACTCCTTCAGAGCTATCCACCCCAGCTCTTTCTAAGAGAAATATAACACAAGCCACAAATGTGAGCTATGTAGCAAGTTAAAAAACAAAACAAAACACAGAAACAACATTGATGAAAACAAAATACCACATCACACCTATCAGAATGGCCATGCTGGCGAGGATGTGAAGCAAAAGAAACTCTCATGGGAAGACAGAATGGTGCAGCCACTTTGGAAGATAGTTTGGCAGTTTCTTACAAAACTAAATACACTCTTACCATACGATCCAGCAATCATGCTCCTTGGTCTTTACCCAGAGGAGCTGAAAACTTTGATCCACACAAAAACTTGCATATGAATGTTTATAGCACCTTAATTCAAAATTTCCAAAACTTGGAACTAACCAAGATATCCTTCAGAAGGTGAACGGATAAACTATGATCTATCCAAACAATGGAATATTATTCAGTACTAAAAAGAAACAAGCTATCAAGTCAGGAGAAGACATGGAGGAACTTTAAATGCACATTACTAAGAGAAAGAAACCAATCTGAAAAGGCTACATACTGTATGATTCCATCTACAGGACATTCCAGAAAAGGCGAAGTCACAGAGACAACAAAAAGATCAGTTGTTAACAGGGTCTGGGGGAGGAAGGGATGGAAAGATGGAGCACAGAGGGTTTTTAGGGCAGAGAAACTACTCTGCTGATAGCCTAATAATGGATACCTGTCATTATACATTTGTCCAAATCCATAAAATGTATAATACCAAGAGTGACCCCAATGGAAACTATGGACTCTGGGTGATGAAGATGTGTCAATGTAGGTTTACCAACTATAACAAATGTCCCACTCTGGTGGTGGATGCTCAAAGTGTGGGAGCATGTGCATCTGTGAGGACAGGGGACAGGTACATGGGAACTCCCTGTACTTACTGCTCAAAATTTCTGTGAACCTAAAACTGCTCCAAAAAATTCTGTTAACTATGTATGATGAGAGACACTAGACTTACTGCAGTGATCATTCTGCAATATATACAAATACTGAATCATTCATTATATTGTACACCTGAAAGTAATAGAATGTTGTATGTCATACCCCAATAAAAATTTTTTTTAAAAAAAGAGCAAAGTCAAATGCAATGTTAGATAGCTTTAAGTTAATCCCCAAACCAACAAAAGACAGAGCTGCACATCGTTTGGTAGTCACTGTCCAAATGTGGCTACTGTGCACCTGAAATACAGCAAGTCCAAGCTGAGATGAGCCCAACCATAAAATTCACACCAGATTTCAAAGACTTAGTATAAAAAAGGAATGTAAATATTTCAGTAATAATCTTTACATGGATTCCATGCTGACATAATATTGTGGCAGGCTACTTAGGGCTAAGTAAAAGACACGAAGTAAAACTGATTATACGTATTTCTTTTTACTTTTATAATATGGTTACTGAAAATTTTACAATCACATATGTGGCTTACATTCCATTTCTGTTGAGCAGCACTGGGCTGGAGAGTCACTACTTCTCCCTTTTCCCATCTTCTGTGAATGCTAATAAAGAATAAAATATCCAGCCCTGGGCAGAAGGAAAATGAAGCCAAAGGAATAATTTACAGATAGGAAAAAGAACAGCTAGAAAATCAGAATCTGACTACAGCTGACAATAGCTCTACATAGCAATGTTTAGTTGTTTTAAACGCCAAAGTCTTTTAACACAGAAATTTAAAATTTCTATAAAATACAAAGTTTTTTTTTTTTAATACCAACTTAGACAAACTATCTGCAGTAGAGGAAATATGGTAATTTCCTAAATATGTATAGCAGCTCCTAATCATCCCAATAGCCCTATATTGTTTGTGCATTACCATCCTCACTTCACTAAAGAGAAAATCAAGGTGCTGAGTTTAAGAAACTTGTCCAAACTAGTAAGTATCAGAGCAAGGATTCAAACCCAGGCAAGGTGGGGGCACCTGCGGGGCTCAGTCAGTTAAGCATCTGCTTTGGCTCAGGTCGTGATCCCAGCGTCCCGGGATTCAGACCCACATCGGGCTCCACGCTCAGCATGGAGTCTGCTTCTCCCTCTCCCTCTGCCTACTGCTCCCCCTGCTTGTGAGTGCGCTCATTCTGACAAATAAATAAAATCTTCAACAACAACAACAACAAAAGTATAGCTCTCTCTCTGATAAATATATTTTTTAAAAAAGCAAGAAAGATAAGAAAAGATATAAAACTCAATAGAAAATAAATGAGGAAAAAGACTTGAACAGGCTTTTCACACAAAAAAGGATAGCCAAATGGTCAATTAACACATGAAAAGGTAAGTTCACATGTAAACAAGGAATGTAAATTAAACCACAGTAAAATAACAAGCAGAGTAGCTAAAAAAAGAAATTGTGACAATTTAGGCAAAAACATGGAACAATGGGAATACTCAGGCACTGCTGGTGGAGTGGAAATAAGAACAACCATCCTGGGGAACATGCACTATATTAAGACTGAAAACACACACATACATATTTTTAAAAGATTTTCTTTTATTCTTTATTTGAGAGAAAGAGAGAGAGAATGAGCAAGAGATTGCAGAGGGAGAGGGAGAAGCCGACTCCCCACTGGGCAGGGAGCCCAATGCGGGGCTCGAGCCCAGGACCATGGGATCATGACCTGAGCCGAAGGCAGCCACTTAACGTACTGAGCCACCTAGGAGCCCCGAAAACACATATCCTTCCTGATACTAAGTTTTGTATGCACCAAGATACATGTACAAGATTATTCATACCAGCTCCAAACTTGAAATAGCCCGGGTACCCATCGACTATAGAATGGATAAGTACACTGAAGTCTATTCATATAGTGGAACATTACTCAGCAATTAAAATGGTCAATCAAACTGCAGCTCAATTCAAAACAAATCTTTAAAATATTATTGCATGAAAAAAGCCATATACCAAAGACTGTATGTAGTATAATTCTATTTATATATCATTCAAAAACAAGCAAAACTGCAGTGTTTAGAAATGTATGCTTAGGGGTTACCTGCAAAGGGAAAGAAAGAGAACTGTAACCAAAATACAACCTTTAGTGGGCTTTCAGAGTCCCCAAAATGTTCTATTTCTTTATCTGAATGATGCTCATACTAGGGGTCAAATTCAAGAAATTTGCAAAGCTATACAATCATTTTATGCACTTTTATAGTATTTAACAATAACAGGTTTTGAAAAAAGAAACAAATGTTTAACAAAGGAACAAGGTAATTCAGTTGGGAAAGAAAAGGCTTCTCAAGAAACGATACAACTGGAAATCCATATGAGGAGGAGAACACCTCAAACCTTACCTAACACCACTGTAAAAATTAATATGAAATGGATAACAGACCTATACATAAAAGGTAAAATTATAGGGGTGCTGGCTGGCTCAGTTGGTGGAGCATGCGACTCTTGATCTTGGGGTTGTAAGTTTGAGCCCCACGCTGGTATTAGACATCACTTAAAAATAAAATATTCCCATCCTTGGAGTAGACAAAAGATTTCAACCTTGGGGTAGACAGAGATTTCTTAGGACCCTAAAAAGCACTAATGATAAAAGAAAAAATTGATAAACTGGACTTCATCAAACTTAATAAAACTGTTCCTCAAGACATGGTTGCTTCTGACTTCTGCCCCAGGATGGAGAGAGCTGGGGGGTAGGAGGGGAACACTGCTCCCACACTCACAATGAAAACCAACTAATTCCAAGTCCATGACTTTTTCTGAACCTATCAGGGAACGGAGGTCACAGAGCAAACTGGTCCAAAAACTAAATGCCTGCAGTGAAACAGCACACATACTCACCTGAGGCAGATGCAATCAGACACTGGCAAGGTGAGTCTGTTGAGAACAGACGACATATTGTGAAGACAGTATAAGCTGCCAGGACAATTCCTGGGATCACAGGAATTGGGAAGCCTACATCTCTTTGCAACGTCTCTATGAAGCCCAGTGGGTGAGCACTGAAAGGCTCTGCAAGAGCTCGAAAGAGCATGGACAGTAACAGAATCAGGGAGCAACAGCTATGTGGGTGGGGTGAGAACCCCGGCTCCCTGTCCTTCCCCTCCACCCACTAAGGAACAAAAGCCTTAGTCTAGGGGCGCCTGGGTGGCTCAGTCGCTAAGCGTCTGCCTTCGGCTCAGGTCATGATCCCAGGGTCCTGGGATCGAGCCCCGCATCGGGCTCCCTGCTCGGCGGGAAGCCTGCTTCTCCCTCTCCCACTCCCCCTGCTTGTGTTCCCCCCCTCGCTGTGTCTCTCTCTGTCAAATAAATAAAATCTTTAAAAAAAAAAAAAAAAAAGCCTTAGTCTATACAGGGAAGGGCTCTGGCGACACAACTCCTGGAGAAGGGGCAGGATTACATGGTGAGCCCACAGTCTCAGCCAAGGAAGGGACAGGAGAACTGAGGAGGCCATACCCCAAGACTCAGGGTTGCCATACGTGTGTCCAAACGAAAAAGCTTCAAATAAAAGTTAACTGAAGACTAGACCGAGGAGGGACAGGAGAGGAGTAAGGGTGTGCAAATATACATACACTGTGAAGCAACATAGAAAGGGAAGACTTAACACTTAGAATACAGGGGCGCCTGGGCGGCTCAGTCTGTGAAGCATCTGCTTCGACCCAGGTCATGATCCCGGGGTCCTGGGATCAAGCCCCGTGTCGGGCTCCCTGCTCAGCAGGGAGTCTGCTTCTCCCTCTCCCTCTGTGTGCTCACTTTCTTTCTCTCTTTCCCTCTCTCCTGCTCTCACTCTCTCAAATAAATAAAATCTTAAGGGAAAAAAAGAATTACAGAGTTGTAGTAAACCACCCTCTAGTAGACACTGCTATAGAAATCTGAAGGCTGTGGTGCACTGACAATGACCATGGCAGCCAACTCCTAACAAGA